CGCCGCCGCCGCCGCAGCGGCAAGGGTGGCCTCGTCCTCCTCCATTACGGCCGCAGCCTTTGCGGCCTTCGCCGACTTGGGGAGCGGGTACGGTCGGATCATGGTGGCGGCGCCGTTGTAGAGGGGGTTCTCCGAGTCGTAGTCCGGGTCGCCGTCGGTGGCAAGAGCCTTGCCGACCACCATCTCCACCTGAGAATAGAGCAACAACGAACCAAGCAAGAGTCAAGCGTGGGGAGTCGAGTCAAAGGGTTAGACGGGGGGGGATTTGAGCTGTCGTCGTGCATGGTGCTGCAGCCTACGAAAAACGGTGTTCCTCTTGTCGGTTTGTGCATTTCATGCAAAGGAGTTTCTTATCATGCTGTGGTGCAAGAACAGCGGAGCTTCTTCATGAAACGCCTGAAAAAGTGCAGCGGTTGAAGATGGTGGGGTGGTTTTCGACGTAATTGAGGCATGTTCATGGCTGTGCTGGTCGTCCTGCTGGTTGTCCCCGCTGGGTGTAGCTGGACAGCAGGATACACACAGCTCAATTCGTGCACGTGCGCCCTCTTTTTATTGGCAACAACCGCGAAACATGAGATCCGTCATCAGTAGAGGGAGGGAACAACGCCACCACGGCATTTTGGTACCTCTGCGCCAAAGCTGGCTGTGCGAGAAAGCAAGGCTATGTCAACCATGTCAGGTAGCAACCACCGACTGGACAATGAAAAAGAGACACCCAGGGAACCATGAAGAAATAATCCACAGTTCTCATTAGGGAAGCCAGAACGTACGAAGCGAAGGCATGACGTTGGCCAAGGGTTGCCGTCAGGCACTTGTTGTCTTCACATAAAAAACCGTTCCGATCTCTCTCTACCCAGTACCTTCGTATGTCCGTCCTGATACAACACTCGACGCGGTCGCTTCCCGTGGTCGCAGGCTAACTTACCCTAATCAGGTACACCCAAATTAGCTGGCCCCGAGGGGTCCGCAAGTCAATAGAAATCAACGAGAGATATTCTGGAGTCCTCCACTCCCTCTGCGCGCTATGCGAGGGAACAACTGAGACTAGGGGTCACCATCACGGGCCGGAGAGAATGAGGTACACCCCCTTGGTTCAATCTTGGTACTTCACAACGCAAGCAGAGGCAAGACCATCTGGCACAGTAAAAGAGAGGAACATAGAAGGAAACAGTAAGGAAAGAGAAATAGGACAAAAAGGTACCAGGCCGAAAATAACAAGAAATAAGAGACAGCAAAAGGCACACGATGGAGAGACCACTAACGACAAGCAAACACGCAAAACATGGCCACCAACCAGCGATACATTGTAATGGTACGTCATCACTAGTGGGGGGTTGGTGCAATGGTGCAGCGTTGGGGGGGGGGGGGAATCCGCTAAAAGAAACTCAATCAGGCACGTATCGCGCCATTCGGTCCGTCTCTTGTCGTTTGCTTTCTTCCCTCGACGTCTTTTCCGTCTCCTGCCCCCCTCCCGCCCCATTGGTTGGTGGCGTGTGGTTTCGCTGTCTCACGAACACTCACGCAAAGTGCCACCCACAAGCCGCTCGATATTGGTCGGTGGTCGGTGGTCGCTGTTCGCTGGCCTATTCGCCCGAGACGCAACAAACTTGGGCGACGAAGGAGGAAACATCCTTCTGGCATGTAGCTTTTCACGTCTAATGAGTCTCTCGAACGCATGCAAACAACCAAACTACAAATGTTGCAAAGACCGCATGATGAGTCCCTCGAAAACCATCTCCGAGCTCTCACCTCCACAACCCTCGGCTTCAGCATTGCGCCAGTAGGGTCCATGGATCCGTCCAGCACGCCTTCTACGGTGGGGGCCTTCCAGACCATGTACAACGTCATCAGCAGGAAAAGCCCAACCTGATTGGGCCGCGCGAGAAGGTGTAAGAAAGGGGGAAGCAGAGAGGTGCAGCGGGGCAAAAATTAGGCTCGACCCAGCAGCATCAGGAGGGAGGGGGCGATTGACTGGGAGTGTTCCGTCGTATGATAACTTGTCCTCATTCCACTGGTGTGAGGTACATCGGCTACAGCCATAAGTCACACCCACATGCTCAAACACGGTTAGGTCTACACCCACGAGAAACAAATGTTCTAAAACCACAAGATTATACTTCCTGCATTGTCAGCACCATTACAGGTGCTGAAGGCGTGGTGCTTGCACGTCGCTCCTCTGCCCATGTTCGAACAACCAACTCGTTCCACAAGCGCTTTGAGGAGATCATCTCCCATCTCGGTTCATAAAAAATACCGTGGTGTGGACCGGCTCTCACCTGGAAAAGACCCAACATCATCGGAAGGCCGGGCCCTGTGAAAGTCCACGGCCTAACGGGGCAGAAAGTTTGAAGACCTGCCGCGTCATCATCCGCAGTCTCGCCCCAGCATTCATCAAACAAGATCTGAGGACAGCGATTGAAAGGAAATTGGGTTATTTCACATGCATATCCTATGTATGAGCAGCACATAAACTTGTGTGTGGAATGGAATCCATTTCGGGCAGATAACCGGCGGGGGGGCATGGCGTGTTCGTTGGACGCCAGTTTGCCAATTTGGAAACTTTTCTACTTCAGGGGGGGGGAACCACGCACATAGGCACTTCACGTGTGACATGGACATGAATTTCCCCCTCACCAAACCATCCTCAACATGTACCCTCTGGTGTGTTCATGCATTCATGCTCCCCAGCGACAACAAATATGAAAGGCCCGTGTCGATCCATCCGTTCATTGTGTGGGGTGCCTTATTTCCAAAAACCCATCTTGCCCAATAAATGTACTGCGGTTTGCCGCTCACTGAAAAGTAGCGTCTTCTTCACACGCTCCAAACGAATATCTGTCTTTCCTATTGCCGCAAGCTAGCCTTGGTTATCTTTTGCCACATTTCCAGCTTCAACAGGAAGAGAGTGCACGCTGTGCGCAATGCCTTGGAAGGGAGGCAGCAGGCGTCCCCGCTCCATCGTTCGGTGCACGCTTCTCAGAAAACGTCAAGGAACTTATTTTTTTATTTGAATTTTAATGTGGCGAAAGAACCAGAATTGAGCTACTAGACGAGTGAGAGGAGCAGCGTACTTCTACTGAGATTCGAACACGCCTTGCCGAGCCACGTCTTGGCAAGCCTACCGGGTGTGCACACATGCCAGTATGGGCTTCCGCCAGCTGGCAAGCGCGAAGGATATCGGGCCAACTAACCGCTCGAGTCACAACCAAAGAAGCATCCTCCGCATGCTGATGTGGCCCAACATAAAACAGAAGCGTTATCGGCAGCGGCACGACGGCACCATCTGCTTCCCACCCATTTCGGAGATACGAAAAGCCGCCGGTACTCTGGGCAGAGGGTTCACGTGAGACGCGCCACCGCCTCGTGCGATGATCTATCGTTTGTTGTGCTTGCTATGCGTACACTGCCGCCATCTCCCAGCGCAAGTTTGTGCCGAGACAAAACAAACACCACAAGGCGTCCGGCGTGTGCGAGTGACGGTGAAGAAAAGCAACAGCAGGGGAAGAGGGGTCTCTCGCTCGGGCAACACAACCTTCTCCGAGAGTATGCTGCTGCTCGGGAGGCAACGTCAAGGCGGACGGGGGATGACGACTACCTGCTGCCTGCGCTCTGAAGGCCGTGCTGGACACAATACCTGCTCTCGCTCTTACACCCGGCAACCATGGGCTCGACGGGGAACTGGGGGTCGGCATATCGAACGACAAACACACGGATTACTACAAAATAAAGAAAAACTTTCGTTGACGAAAAAACTACTAACAATAGGAAGACATGTCTGTACCCCACAGAGGGATAGCAAAAGAGGAGGCTCTCACGTTCTCGAGTGCAGTGGTGAGCGCCTTCTGCTCGTCCCCGAACCGTCCCTCGATGAGCCACCAAAAGCTTACGATCGCCGCCGCGGTGCCCACGCCCACCAGAAGGTTGAGCCGGGTCATCAGGGCCAGGCCAATGCTGCAGTGAGACCCGTTGCTCAGATACGAAGCCTTGAGCATCTTGTACGTGAGGATGGAGAAGAACGTCAGCACCACCTGCATGGCCACCACCCCGCCGCCAGCCTCGGCTCCGCCGTTGGACTCGTCCGCCTGGGTGGGGTTGTCCGTCTTTTGGAACACGCCATTTAAGGGGTAGACCTTATCGAAGAAGTAGAGCGACCTCTCGTTGTCGAGATTGAGATCGTCGTCGTCGAGAGCGGGGTTCGCTTCGTAGGTGGCCGTGGCGATCGGGCATCCCACCGTATGCACCAGCTTGTCGTAGGTGAACTCCTTCCAGCCGATGCTGACCTTGGCGAAGTCCTGCCCGAAGACGCACGAGGACGACGCACCTGCCGTTGTACCGGTGCCCGACAGGGAGCTCGAAGAGACGCTCGAGCTGCCGGTCGCTGGCGCCGCCTCCGCCGCCTCCGCCGCCTCCGCCTCCTGCTCCACAACGCATGTGCACCGGTCCATCTCCCACTCGAAGTAACCCTTGCTGACCCCCAGGATCACCGACGGGAACATGGCCAACCCGGACAGCGTGTAGCCCAGGATGGCTACCCGGAAAAACGTGCGCCCTACCGCAACAACGGCAGCATTCCCGGCCCCGCCCATGGTGCGTGGGGAGTGGCGCTAAAAATTTCCCTTGTTCTTCCCTCTGCCACGCACAGCAGCAGATCACACCGGTTGTGACGGCCACGAGATTGTCACCTGCCCTTCTCCCTCTCCCTCTCTCGCTTCTGGTGAGGGTTTCTGTAGGGGTTTTGTCTCCTCCGGACAGCCAGGTGTGGGGTGCGTGCGTTAGAGGATCTACGGCGTGTGGTGGTGTTCCTCTCAGTACGCCCGGGGATATGAGAACAAGGCAGCAGTGACGACTTGCTAAACTGCGAAGTGGAATAAAGTTGTATTTCCGTGGGACCCCTATTTACAGTAGATGAATTGTTTCTTTTGACAGGACCCGGAGGACCCCTCATTGCCCTCACATTCGGTGATTGGTGATTGGTGAATCCCATCATTATTTCGCGGCGCCCCCTCTTGCAGAGTTGCGAATCTGTCGATCAACCGACGGAGCAGCGAGCAGCGGAGTAGTCGCTGCTGCTGCTTTGTTCTGCGCAGCTGCCAAAACGCACGATATGGCGCCAACAGGTCGATGGAACAGAATGTGGTTCGTGCTCGTGATAACTTTCGTAACGCTGTTGTCTTCGCACGCTGATGCTGCTAGGCTTGGGGGAGAAGGTGTCGCGCTCACCCGATCCGGGGACGTCCTCAGCGCGGATGGAAGCACTCAAGAAGAGTACGAGGTACAGCAGCATCACACTACAGCAGTAGTGCGCCACAACTGTAGCGTAGGGTACATGGCGAAGTGTAGAGTCTGATCTTCCCAGGTCGGCGTCTCCCTCCTCGCTGATGTTGTGGGGTTCATTGGTTTTGCTGAGGCACACACTCTCTCCGTGATCTCAACTCAGTCATGGACCTGTCGAGCCTGTCTGCCGAAAAGGTTCGAGGAACGAGATGCGTTCCAGCAGCAGACATGATGATGTTCTTCGTTTAGGAACAATTTTGAAAACGCCCAATTGAATACGTCAGTCCCTCCAAGCGTTCACTGGAAGCCGCCATCCAAGCCTTTTCGCTTCCAAGCAGTACCGGTGTGCGAGTGGAATGTGGCACCCTGTGTCCGTGGAAATCGCCGGCAAAGAAGACAAAAGAGTAGTCTATATTGTTCGAATCGGCAAATAGGTCGACGGCGCTGCACCAGCATCAGTTTCACACCGCCTTCTTCCGCACAGGTCGTTGTGCGGAAGTCTATCGACGCGTATGCGTATCAACACCGCCATTAGGCGCGACGGCGCGGGTGTTCGTTCCCGTGAGAAAGGAAGACCTTCCCAACCCCACGAGCATACTAGCATAGCTCTTTACCCACAAGGAGACGCTGCTTTCTGGTGCCTCCTGCATACATTGGGGGCCTCTGCCCGGGTGCTCGTTTCCGAACCACACCGCCGCCGTTCGAAGGGTTTTGGTGTTGTCCCTGCGTAACGGGGATGCCCCTTGGCGTGCATGTGTGTGCATTTGTCGGTGTGGTGTATTTACGGCTGTCACGAGTTTTTTCCAGGCCTTGTCCCTTTGGTAGACCGTTGTTCAACGACTTGGAACACCCCACAAAGGCCCGCGCGTTGACTGCTGCATACCGCATCACAAGTGTTGCTTTACTTGTAAACATGGAGGCCCTACAAACAAGTCCAGCAGTAGTTGGGGGCGGCTTTCAGAGACTTCAGTTTCAGGTCAAGTCCCCGTCCGCGTGAAAATCGCATCCGCCACCGTGGATCATGGGCTACTGCTGTACGGGGCGCAGCATGGCATCCACCGCTGAGGTGTGCACGTTCGGTATTTTCTTTTGTTTCCTACGAATCCGAACCAATTTTCGGCACGGAAGCCTCTTTTGGACCCACACGCAGCTTTGCGCCCCCGACTGCACACCAGTTTTGTAAGCCCGCCCCCCCCAGATTCCCTCGAGGTGGTTACACATAACTGCCTCTGGAAGTGAAAGCGAAAGAAAATAGAAATAAGTCATTCGCAGCAGTCATTCGTATGCAAGGATTTTGCACAGGATGCCAAACACCCTTCGCAAGATGCAGCGCACCCTCGATGAGCCTCGCCGAATATCTCACGGCGCTTCGCGCTTGGTGATGTGAGAGGCTGGTCCCGTGAGAACCCGGCGTACTCCATCCCGGCGTTGTAGGTATGCGAGGTAACTGGTCTAACGACTACGGCATGCGCGACTATGAGTACACCCCCCCCGGATTCCCGTTGTGCTCCGATAGGGATGCGAAGTCAATGGCCTGACGACAACGGCATGCACGGCTATGAGCAAAACACACACACACACACACACATACGATTCCCTCGAAACTGCCGGTGTTCCTTGTCTGTTCTACGGTTACTGTGTGTTTTTTTCTTGGACAGGTGCGGGAATCGGATCCTATTACGGCTCACTTCATCTCGTTGGGCTCGGCAGCGCAGAAGCTGCTGAACAAGTCGGGTTACGCCTTCGGTTCCCTCGTTCGGATCTCACACTCAGATAGAGACAAAGAGGTGAAAGGTCCTATGAATTCGGCGTACGCTGTGCCTCTGTGCACGTGAAACGGTTTCGTATTGGACCCACACGGCACGTTGGCCGCAGCTATTGGCGCGGGTGGGAAAATGTGAGTTGCATACGACGCCACACACCTCTATTGGAAAAAGAGTGACCATGCCGAAATAGGCGGCGTTGGAACCGTGTCGTCGAGGGCGATCCATCAACCTACCATGTGGTTTTGGCGTCCCCTTCGTCGTGGAACAACCGTGCTTTCGCGGTATGTTGTGCACCCGACGGTATTTACTTATCCACCACTCGCACAACTCCCCCGCTCGATTCACTCTCACAGTCGGGGGTTTTTTTCTTCTTTTTTTTCAGTTGCCATGATGACATGTGTTTGATGCTCAAGGTCGCACTAGTTGTTTAGCCGGGAGGGTACTGGCACACAAACGAGGGGATGACAAATGTAGCCCGTGGGACTGCTTGCTCACTTTAACTGGACTGCGTGTTGAGCCCGCGGCGCGGGGGGAGAGGGACAGCGAGTGTGGATAAATTGAACGAGGATCGGCTATCGCTCGAAGGTGATTCGCTCTCGGACAGCACACGCGAAAGAACGCATCAGGACGCGGTACTCGTGCTTTGCTGGCACGGGAGGCACGGGGGCCATTGGGATCGCGTACAAGGGAAACCCTTGCCGCCAGGAGACAGCTGCATTGGTGTTGCATTGCGTCGACGGCGGCCTACGTTACGGTATCCTTCGAGACGACCGTCGATTGAAAGCAAAGAGAAAGCTCGCCGCAGCGACGGTTGCTGTTATCATATCTACTGCAGTCACGACTGGGCAACGGCCGTCAGCAGCAATTGGCGGTCGTTCCTGAAACCCTGCTCTCCTCATCTCTCGCTTTTTGCTTGTTAACGGTGCTTGTTAATATATCTAGACATTGTCTGGTCCATTGTGTCTTCTCAAGAACGGTCCTATTCTGATCACTGCTTGAATCCAAATCTGATAGCCGCTCGTTTTCTTTCCTTCTGGGTGTCGGCCGTCTCCACGCAACATCAACGACAACAACAACAACAACAACGACGACGACGACGACGACGACGACGACGACGACGACAACAGTACGGCGAGGGGCCGGAGAGAACGGCGTGGTTTCCCATGGTGGTTTTCTTAGACGTTTTCGAAGAGGGGTCGGGGGACAACGGCGAAGACATGACGGCGCGGTACGAGGTAAGCCGTAGGCACAGCTGCGCAGGCTTCCGCTGACGCTATCTGGCGTGTTTTACACGTTATGTTCCTACTGGCCGTCTTCGGTTGTGCTTCAGTCACCATCGAGCCCCCCCCCACCCCATCTATCCCTCTGGTTTACGAGTCGAACTCTTGAATTTTTTTCTGTTGGGGTACATATATGTAGTTGGCCTGTGACCATGGAAGATGTCCGCGTCGGAACGTGGTACTGAGCAGAGACCGAAAAGGTTTAATTTTGAAGGGAAACAACAAGAATAACAAGAGCAACGACACAATTGTGACCCGCAGGTGGCGTTGGATTTCCACCCGAAGACAATCGCCGCTCCGGGGCTAGTGGTCCTCGCGGCGTGGAAGATCAACACGGACGGTGAGATACACCTCCTCGGCGAGACGTCGGCAAGCTCGAAATGCTCGGTAACTTTGTGGTCCTCGAGAAACTCCGAGGTCTTTCGGTTGTTCAGGTACTCGACCGTACGAGGGATGATACGCTAACGTGAGCGCTTTCTTCCGGGGTCGGTGGCCCTTTTTCAGTTTTGTTGTTTTTTGCTGCCGCTGCTGATGTAATCGAGGCGAAGCTTGTCCATCCTGTTTTTTTCCGAAGGAGGACGCAGGATCAGAATGAATAGACAGAGGCCGTGTAGAACCAAAGCCAGCGGTTGTTACTCTACGTTCAGCGGGTCCGTGAAGCAACAACTGCAGAGGGCCCTGGCGACATCTGAACCCGCTTTTCCTCCTGTACCACAGGAATTCGTTGTGCGTCGGCTTGGTCTCCTCAACACTGTTTGCCATGGCGTGCGCCCGATTCTCTCCCTCTCTCTGTCTCTCTCTCACCTTCTCATTACCTCTCACTTGTACTCTCCGCCGCTCTCTTCCTACTCCTTCTCCCCCCTCTCCCCCCCCCCCGCCGCCACTTCGACAGGGGGCGTGGCGGCTAAACTCGATGTTCTCCCGGCGGAGGAAAAGGGGTTCCTGGAGAAAAACAGGCCGGGGATCACCATGATGTTCGGCGTTATCATCGCGTCCGGAATCGTCAAGTTCCTCAGGTGCGTGGCCAAATCAAGACGCGTTGTACTTGAATGGTAACAAGGATCGCCGCACGCACTATGAGACACAGGTCAACCGAGTGTTGCGACAGGGTTCTTCGTTTTCGGAACGACTTGTGGGAAACTCCGGGTTCCGTTGGAAAACGGCGATGCCCGACGGAATTCCACCAAATCGCCCCGCACACTAGGCGCCAGATTTTGTTCAGTGCCGTCCGACGCCACTCACGCCAATGCCACCGTGTAACAACGACGTCAAAGGGCAGAGTATGCAGTGCCTACTCTTGGCCTTGGAAAAAATATTGGAAAAATATCGGGAAATGATCACCGATTGCGTTGGCCAGAGGTGGGTATTTTCACTACTAAAATAGTGTGGACGACTATCGAGGTTATTCTTCGTAGAGTCCCCCCTCGGCACGGTTTTGTTGTACACTCGTATCGACCTTGCGCTCGATCGCATGGTGCATCTTCGAAGGGCGTTGGTTGTCGCTGCTTCTCTTGTACGGCGCATCCCAGAAGGCCAGGAGTGATAACGCTCAAGGATGACCGCCTCGTCAACAATCCCATCACCCTCTGTCCCCCCTCCGCTCTCCCTCTCTGCGCGGAAATATACCACGGCTTGTGTACCCAAGCAGACGCGGTCTCGAACGGCTCGTGAAGAAGGCTAAGGCAGACAGGCAAGAGGGAACGGCAACCGCAGCGCCAGCGACGGAGGCAGAGCCGTCGGTAGCGGCGGCACGAGGAAAGGGCGCCGAAAATCCCAAGAAGAAAAAGGAAGGCGGCAATAACGTCAAGCAAGACTGATCTGCCCAGTGTGTTCATAAGTAGTCTTGTCGGGGAAACACCAACGATCTCGTAGGTACCAGCGTCATGTAGGTGTACGTGTACCTGTACCTTTTGTGTTCTTCTTGACATGTCATCGGCCGCGCTAACCGGCTGACCAGTGAAAAGTGTTTTGCGGGGTAAAACAAGCGAAAAAAATGTTTTTGTTCCCTGACGGGGGAACGCGGGACGCGCGGAGGAGATTGGACGATAGGGCATGTGTGCGCCCCGCGTGTCTCAAATATGCATAGGATTAGTATTTCACAATCTTTGACGTATGTTGTTTTACTATTTACCGGCAACGTAGGGTACGTCGGTTGAGAAATGATATGTTTGTGGATTCATGTCTCAGTCCTTCCTCAAACATTTGCGAGCCAAGTCACCGGAGGTGTAAAAAAATTGGAGTGTGTAGTGGCGAGCAGAAACAACGTTGTTCTTTGCCCTCCTCGCCTATGTCGCGCGAGTTGAAAAAATCAGAGGCGTGTGTGATCACGAGCAGACAGAACTCGGTTCCGGCTGTTGTCGCTGCTTCCTCTAGTGTGTGCGGTCGTCCCCATCTATTCTGGCGCCAGTCTGCGCAACTTTCGGTGTACCAGGCACAAGCGTCGACAAAAATTCCGGTGTCACATAGGAAAAAGGTCATCCAGGACCTTTTTCATCGTCGTTTCGTTTTGTCGCCCTGCATATCCTCCCGTAGTGCGTGCCTCGAATTTTTTCGCGCGAAGGGTTCAACTGTTTCTTTCCCTCGTCGACCGTCAAGCTGGAGTGTGCGCACTCACAGAGTTTCATTTCCGCGGTAAGCTGCGAAACAATTCCATTCCAGAGGGAGAATCGAAGTCCAACCTGACATCAGTAGGTTTACACCGTTAATCTCAGTACGAGGACTTAAGTAGAATCAAATCCAGTGTGTTCGGTAGGTGTACCTCAACCCTCACTTTACAGTAAGGACTTCAATAATTTCCCTTCGAACGTGCACTGTACATCGATGTTACGTTTCTCCCAAACAATGGATTCAGGAGACCCGTTCCCTCCTCTTGACGAACAACAAGGCATGGTTCATTTCCTTCCTTCTGTAGTGTTGCCTTCTCTAGAACCAGATACCCTGCAATGCCCCGATACCTCTCGAAGGTGCCGGCTATCGTGGTCTACATCCAATAACAACACGTTCGCATCCAATCATCTTCCAAGCATTCAATCCTAACCTCGGTGGTGACATCCATCAAATAGTTCCACGCACGGCCTCTGCCTTCCCTCAACCCTCCACAATCTCAGATTTCGACAACAACGCCAACACACCTACTAGAAAGTAACATGAAACGGAAATCCGTGCAAGCAAGCCACCACAACGTTTGTTTAACCTTGACGATCACCCAAACATATCAGTCACGAAGAAGCACAGCCATCAGCTCGGGCACCAGCATCATGACTGCTACGTTTCGGTTAAAAACGAAGAGAGCAGCATCATACCTAAGCCCCGCAGCAACGACAATCCGAAACAATCGACTGAAAAACAGAACTATCCCAAACACGATGAAAAAAATATATAGTCTCCATCACAATCGCCTTGGAGGGCATGTCCAGTAACTTGGCAAGGTGAGTGCCACTGCTACCCCGACCCAACCGTGTCTATTTTCGGGGTTTTGCCGAGCGCTATCTACAGTTAGTTGTTCGACGTCCATTCTTGGGTTTGTTTGCTCTTGACACGCCGTTGCCGCCATGCGCCGCCTATGAACAAGCTCTTGGTGCTGGCGTCTGTTTCAAGCTTTGTAGCCGATGGTTTTGAGCCAGCTGACGAGGGCATCGTTCACGACCTCGGGGGCTTCGTCGTGAGGACTGGAAAAAAAAAACCCAAGCGAATAATGGATGTGATGTCCGAGCGATTGCGATGGTTGAGGTGTGTTCAGACAAGGCGAAGAGAGCAATAGTTGAGTTGGTTTCAGGCAACACGCGGGCATGCGAAGGGGGAGAAAAGAAGAGGAAAGATACGGAGAGAAAGAGAAAAAGAGAGAGAGAGAGAGAGAGAGAGAGAATGGACAGAGGTTGTAGAGGGAGACAAGAGACAAAAGACAGAGAGAAACCGAGCAGTAGAATCATGGCACGGTGAGGAGACAGGAGAGGCACGTGCCACGCACGGGTCAACAAGAACCGCATGCGAAACCCTCGTACTCGTCAGACACACAACACAATGGCTAGTATACAACCACGGGGAAAAACACGGGGGGGGGGATGCTCAACGAAAGTACTTGTACAGCACATGCGCAAAAAAAAAAGTTGTCTACGGTTGCGTGTTGTCCAATGTGATCGGAGAGCCCTGTTTTAATTTCCCGTCCTTGCACACTGTACACGTCTCGCTCACCAATGGCCAGCCTGCACGCTGAACCGCGTCGCCTCCGGATACAGCCCCTGTAGATGGGGACCACACGCAAGGAACGATTCGTGAAGAGGTTGGAGAATAAAAACGTCACACACGCCGATGAAATAAATCGCTGTACTATGAGGACAAAAAATAAACTCAGCCTCCCTTCGTGAGGCCATAGACAAGACTGCCTGGGCAGCAGCGACGACTTCACTGTTGTTGGAACACTTGGTACCACCATAGCTGCAGCGTAGGTCGGCTGATGCGAAGATTGGCAATGTCGCCATGTTACATACGAGATCAAAGTTAACTTTACTTCCATACACGCCTGGTCATATACGGAACATGGAACACTTGGACAGGACATAATCTAATTATCTAATCTGTTCTACGCAAACGTACATTGCCAGAGGAAAGTACACCACATTGCAAGCAACTCGGACTCGTGTACAAGTGCAGAGGTGGTGGCTACGGCTACAGAAGGTCGGAACGAACAGCCGGTATTTCTCATTTAATCCTGGTTTCATCTTACCCCGGTTTGAGAGAGAAATACTCTCAAACCGAAGCAGTGAAGATAAGGCCGTTTTTTGGAGCGGATGCCTTGCCGACACTGCTGTGGGAGGATGCTCACGATGGAGGAGACGAAGTGATTCGTGCTGAACGCTGCGTCAGCGCCTTGTTCTTCTCGCTCGGCACATGATACAGAAATATAACATAGACTATAGACTATAGACTAACACAAGAAGACAAGCAAAGGCAGATATCCGATACGGTTGTATGTATACATACATGGAGTATGCAGCAGGTGGTCCGGTATAGTTGCATGTAGGGGCAAGAGGAGAATATGGCACTATTCGGGGCAGTGCCGCTACTCGAAATATCGGGCTCATCCACGTGTTGAGATTGTGACAAGAGATTTTGATGCCACAATATCGATAAGTAGTTCCCCTACCAATCAAATTGCCGTCATGTCGGGCTGCTTGCTGTATGGGCATTTAGTCTCAGATTCCCAAGACGACTTCGATCAGTTTCATCAAGGACAAACGGGCGACTCCTCCGTGGTAGCCGCAATTCTTCCGCGATCGCACTCGGGGGTAGCACAACAAAATAACTGGTGTTAACTCGAGGATGAGGCCGAGCAATCAGTGCCGCATGCACAACGCCATGTTCGCAAGGCCATGGTAGGTGCAGCTTGGATGAGCGAATACCGACCGAGGAAAGCGAAGCAGACGAGACCACTGCACAGAGAGGCACAAAGGCAGGAGAGAACCCTCAAGGACGGGATCAGGGGGGAGGGGGGGAACGGACAGCTACAATAGCTGCGTCGCAGCGTAGACACGGCGGTGTGTCTCGTCGCGTTGTCACCATGCAGGTCAACCACCCACCACCAAATCTGTCTTGTTATGCCTCCACATACCCTGCATCGTCACGTCTGGCGGGGCTGGCGTGCGATCGGGGACACTCAAACAGCGGCTGCCCGCTGCCCAGGGCATGGTGTCTACTTGACAGTGTCGAGTGTGTGTAATGTGCGGCTGTTCCTCCGTCAGGGGTTCGATGAAAAAAACATTACTTGATTTGGTCCGCTGCCGCGGGTCGAATCCACGGATCGACCTCTCCCCACAACAAGAGAAGGGGCGACGTGAAACCGTCGACATCAAGCGCGAAAAAACGCACAAACAAAAAAAGGTACTGAAAAAAGGGGGGGGGAATATAACCTCGTGGGCGTTCTCGGTCCTTGCCTGGATTTTGTCCGCTGCCGCGGGTCGAATCCAAGGGTCGAGCTCTCCCCACAACAAGAGAAGGGGCGACGTGAAGCCTTCGAGGAGTTCATCCACGGTAAGCCCAGGCCCCCCTGTCCTAGAAATAACGCGTTGGAACACCTGCACGGAGAAGAAACGGCCGCCCGACAAAAAAAGTGTGCCATTCTAAAAAGAAATTCCACGATTTTTTGTTGCCTCAAAATTTCGGGGGGCGAGCGAAACACCGGGTTGCATGGGCATCCCGTCGTCCTCCCTCCTGGTGAATTATCTTCGTTTGTTCACATTTGTAATGTACAACAATACTAGCCTATGGTGTGTGTGTTGTTGCCGTTGAAAGGGAGGTTGACCCCGCCTTTTAGTAGATGCGCTCAAACGCGACGCAACACGCATGTGATTCACGGCCACCGTCAGCAAACACGACTCCGTTTCGACAACACGGCAGCACACCACAAAGAAGAGCAAAAAATATCCACCGTCTCTCCGCCGCCACCTGGGTGTTATTTTTACACTGAGACACCGCTCTTCGCTGATGCTGATTTGAGAGAAGGAGAGAAAAGAGAGAAAGCAGCGTGGCGCCCCCCCTTGCCAACCTTCGAACGCACCCTCAGCCCACCTCGCGTGCCGTACGGCGCAAGTCCACGTCGGCTGTCGACAAAGATGACCGCGCGATACGTCTCGTACGCAAGTCTAGCGACACCATCATCACGGCGTGCGCCTGGTTACCGCAACGGACATGAGGCGACTCACACCCCACGCGCCCGGTGGGAAGGTGTCAACAGGTCAACATGACCCCGACACGGATCACTACTCCACTCTTACAATCGGGAAAAAACGGCGACGCAAGAAACCCATTCTACACACGCTCTTTCAGAAGCCGAACTGCTACGTCTCTCACTGTGGGTGGGTATTCTTTCACGATAACATCTCCAATTCATGCCAAAATGTCAGCAGAAATCTACACATCGGTAGCTGCCGAGAGTGAGTTTACCACTGGCGCGTTCGGGTCCAAAGAAGGTACGCGGATGCTCTCCACCAGCTCGTCGTCAACGTTGCGCGGGTCTGGGTAAACTTGTGTCAGAACCTGAAAGCGAGAAAAAAATAAGGGGTGCCGCAAGGTCCAATGGCAGAGATGGGGATAACATCGACAACCACAACGTGCGACGGAGTCGTGGGATAGTCGTCGAAAAACACGCGCGGAGAAGAGTATACACGGAATACAAGTGGGTCGCCAGTTGCCACGTCACACCGAGATAGGGAAGGGGAGAGAGAGAGCGGGGGAGACAAGAGACAGAGACAGAGACAGAGAGGGAGAGGGAGAGATAGGGGGAGAGAGGAAAGGCGAGAGGGAAAGAGAGGGTGGCTGGCATCGTAGAAAAGTGCCTCCACCTCGTACCACTCATGAAAAATGCGTTGCCTAACCCTAATGCTCTTCCACAAAGGTCAGCGACGAAAGTGTATTCTGCTGGGCTGCTGCACTCTACAGGATGTCCCGCGCTACTGCAAGCGTTGTGCCATCAATGTCGAACCAACCCCTAGGCTTCAAAGAGCACTCGCCTGTAAACAACACCGACTGACGTGCCTCACATTGATAGACAAGCCGATGCACCACCTGCTAGACTGGTCGTCATTCCCGGGAATTCTTCAACCAAACAGCCAACCGTCTCACGAGGACTACAAAAACTAGCTGGGAGCCGGAGTCCTGGTGGCAACAGAGCATGTACTAGTGTACCATGGCCCAAAAAAAAAACAACACGAAGGAGAGACAACACGAATCGTTTTATGCACGGCACGCACGCCCGTTGTAAACTACAACCGCTGCCACCACCACCAATAACAGCAACAACAGCAAATGGTCTTCACACCCCACCTGCTTAATCCGGGCCGGCTGCTTAGTGTAGTAGAAGCTCGCTCTCGTGATGGCCAGCTGCACAAACGTGCCCACGTACTTAATGGCCTCGTCCCACGCCAGCAAGAAGGGGGGTCTAGGGGGGGCATTCTTCATATGTTTTCACGTGTCCATGAACGATTGTCGTAGGAGATGCCGATGGTGCACCCCAAGAGCAGGAAGATGATAGGAGCAAGGGCGGGAAGAATTGCGGTGTCGGGGAGGGAGAATGCAGTAGCGAGGGGGGGGAGGGGGGGGGGACAGAGAGATAGGAAAGAGAGGAGCAGAGCAAGGGGAGACAGAGACAGAGACAGAGACAGAGGCAGAGGCAGGAAAGAGACAGGCAGACAGACACAGACAGACAGCGACAGGCAGCAACAAGAAGCGACAGGCAGCGACAGGCAGCGACAGAGAGGNGGGGGGGGGGGGGGGGGGGGGGGGGGGACAGAGAGATAGGAAAGAGAGGAGCAGAGCAAGGGGAGACAGAGACAGAGACAGAGACAGAGGCAGAGGCAGGAAAGAGACAGGCAGACAGACACAGACAGACAGCGACAGGCAGCAACAAGAAGCGACAGGCAGCGACAGGCAGCGACAGAGAGGGAAAGAAAGAAAAAGGGGTCAAGCGACTTGCTACCCGAGGGAGCGCGTTAATGGACAGAGGCAGATGCTTGGCACCACCGTCCAAGCGTCCGATGCAAAAGCATCCCACGACATATAACCGGTGGCGCTGCGGATGCCTGTAGAGGGACTCGGCCGGTCAGGCGCAGCTCGCGTAACGTGTGCTTGAGCTTGGGGCATTCTGGAGCGCTAACTACTATACCCCAATGCTGCCCAGAGACGGTGGCAACATACCCAACCTAGATCAATTTTCCCAGTTTGATGTTTGGCGACAACACAGGGGGCTTCTTTTCGCGGAGGTCTCTCCCTCAACATCACGTTTCTTGACACCCCGCCCCATCGGACACTTCCCATTGCCGAAGTTTACTGGACTTGGAAATGCGTCCATCTTCTGTTGCCCTTTGTTTTTTGTGGTGTGCGGCACCGTTGATAGCGTAGATGCCGTATATACCTTCTGAACTTCGAGGAGAGCCTCCTGTTCTCGGTCGCGGAATCTCCCAGCGCCGTTGAGCATCACACAGCCCTGCGGTGTTGGAGGGGATCCAGGGTGGCAGGGGAGATACATTGTGGGATCGAAGCGCACGCACGAGCATCGTCGACGAAGCAACAGCAGCAGCGGCAGCAGCAACAGCCACACAACACGAAACATCATCATCAACAACAACAACAACAACAACAACAACAACAACAACAACAACAACAACAACAACAACAACAACAACAACAACAACAACCAACACCACTCCACCAACATCAGCCATAAATCACCAAAGGCAACTCCAATAGCAAGCACCAAAAAGTCCCACCTTAATGCTGTTCGGAGCGTGCGAGGCTGCGGCCAAGGCCGTAAATCCTCCCAGGGAATTCCCCGCCACCACCGCGTCCGCCCCCACTACCTCCGTCACAAACGCGCAAACCTGGCAAAGAAAGGGGCCCATCGCCAAGAAGCAAACCTTGAGATTATGTGGAGTTAGGGACTGTCTCCTAGGATAGTAGCCATGTACGCCCATAGAAATATGCATTGGAAATCTGTACATTCACACAGCATACGAACAAGAAGAATCAGCTAGGGGCAACTTGGTTAAACACATGCTACACGCTATTCCATTGGCCTTTGGTGCAGGGCGGCAGGCCTCCCTTGATACGGTCTTGTACTGGGACCACCACTACTGTTCAAGTACTACGGAGGTACATACCAGGCTCGTTGTCACCAGGTACACGAACAACAGTAGTGTGCATACGATATTGCCTAGTAGAGCTTGGTGGATTCACTCATCGCGCAATGCATCGGAGAAATGGTAGCCGTGCAGAGCTTCCGCTGGCTTCGGCCACTTGGTGATAGCCGTTTCAATGGTGCAATGACGTAATATATCTACTAGCCAAAATCAGGAATGGCTGCAGCTCTCAAACATAGGCCATTCATGAATAATTCGGTATGTTAGTCATGAGCAGTCCTCATTTCACTCAGCAAAGAAGCCATGGATAACACCTGATCGCGCCACGTCTCGGCGGAGTACTCGATAATGGGCTTGTCGCTCAAGCCGAAGCCGAGCAAGTCAAGCGCCAGGACGCGGTACCCTTGCTTGACGAGGGCGGGGATGTTGTACCGCCAGTGGTACACGCTGGCCCCGAACCCGTGGATAAGCACCAAGGCCGGCTGCCATCGAGCGAAAACGATGATGAACGCATGGCTGGTCAACAATGAGAGCGACAGGGCTCTGGCAACCCTCGTCGGGGGGGGGGGG